AATCAGACTGCGGCACTCCTGGACCTGCTTAATGAAGAAAAGGGAATCAGGTTGGTTTCTGTGGAAGTGTGAGATATATATTTTCATGTTTTGTCTTCTTATAAGGGCTTATTTTTGTCTCATTTGGCTTAAAATAAGACTTTTGATGGATGGGAAAAAAAATTCTGTCTTCGAGTGCTGGTGTGAAGAAGTTGTAGTGATTGTGCTAAAAGTATAATCAGAACTTTTTTTTTTATGATTTGAGTCATCAATGTTTAACCTGTAAACTGTGATATCATATGATGAACAGTGTGTAACTGCGATTTATATCATATGATGTGAAGGATATTTTTTAACTTGGCGACCTATATTTCACTCCCATATATCTTGAAATAACTTTTGGCAACTTAGGCAACTTCACTACATCACTGCGCCTGATGATTGTGCACCACGGGTATGACTGCCAGAACCCTATTGCGCAACTTATAGGTTAAAGAAACAATAGCCCACCAGAATTAAAACAGGAGAACAATCCCCAACCATCAACTACCCTTTTGCCCATTTACCCTAACCCCCATGTTTTTCACATTTGATAAGCACTGGCACATGAACCTCATATCATGAAAACTGTTAAAAGAATTTGTAAATATGAGATGGGGGAGAACCCTTGACACCAGACCTCCAAAACAGAGAAAAAACATTTTCCATCTGTAAAATGTCTTATATTCTGTCTCTCCAGTCTAGTGTCATTATACTGTATAGCAACTGGATATGGGGGAGAAAACTGGTGAATTCAAAAGAAAAAATATGTTAACCCAGTGCCGCCGGGTAAAAATGTTTGGCAAGTGGACGTAAGAACGGGATTGTTGGCACACATCGGCAGTTTCCTGTTTGTGCCTGGCTCAGTCAGGAGTTTACATGCAACATTTGGCAGCTAAAAGCTTTTATTTTGCTATAATTTATAAACATAATTTTGAAGGTTTACAGTGTGTTGGCCAACAGGAGGCTATGATTTGGCAGAAGGTGAAGTTTACATGCAACATTTGGCAGCTAAAAGCTTTTATTTTGCTATAATTTATAAACATAATTTTGAAGGTTTACCTACATTATAGGTGCCATTACCTAAAATCTTTACCATATAAATGAAGCCACTACTATCAGAGAAAAACATACTCCATCCAATGAGCCAGTGGCGCGGGAATGGGCATGATACGATGCCATCTGTTTTTTGGTCCACAACAGCCATGGCATGTATGTACTTGCCATCCGTCGGCTACGGGATAATAGTACCCATGTATTGAGATGCCTAATTATGTGGCAAAGTTATTGTCACACAAGGGATGTCTTTTATATGCTGTCATGTATCAATTAAAGTATCTGCATGAAGACCACTGACCTGGTTCTTTCACCTTTTCAAGATTTAGGGAGCTTAATAATGTAAGAGTAGAAGCATACTTCTGAACTTGATGAGCCAATGGAACAAGACCTGGATCAGTAAATTCAGTTATAGTTCTTGGGAGCAAGGCCTATGTAATCTGGCCACACCCATAGTGGTTCATTAGAGTCTGCAGGGGTTGCTTTTATATAACAATTCAGAGCTGCTATTAGGCATACAAAATAAGAGGACTCCTTTTCTAACCATGATGGAATAACTACAGGAGTGGCAAAATCACAGGACCTACAACTGGGTCTGATGGCGGGCAGCTCCCCACTCTCCTCCATCTTGCCTTGAAGATTGAGGCCATAAGGCAAGGCCCCCAGAAGGTTAACTTCCACTGGCATCACCCACTGCAAGGCTAGTGAGACATCCTGTAGCTGAAGCAGTTTGGCATTATTATAACGTTCTTTGCATTGGCCGTTGTTGTAGGTAGTTTGGCGTGAATCAGTGACATTGATGATGAAGTGTGGTGGCACCAGATATAATGTTGATGGTGTCTCTCGTCATGGTTTGGTCATCCCATTTCACTGCTGGTGGTTAAGCGAAAAATTGCTGCTTCAGCTGCTGTTGGAGATCTAGGGTTGGGGTAAATGAGCAATAGGGAAGTTGATGGTTGGGGATTGTTCTCCTGTTTTTGTTCTGGTGGGCTGTTGTTTCTTTAAAAACAATGACTTCTTAGTTTTGAAATTCCAATTATGCTTTTAGCATAGTTGCTGCAGTATCTTGAGACCAGACCAGAGAGACAGAAATACATTTGGATATATCAAAAGTAACAAACTTTTGTATGTTGGGGTCCTTTTCTTCTTTGTTTTTTATTTTCTTTCTTTCTTTTTTCTTTCTTTATTTATTTGTGGATGGGTGGTCTTATGCTATTCATTTTAGTCTGGGCTTTGGATGTATATATTAGACTCTGTTTATATGTTATACCATCATTTCCATATAAACATTCCTGCACTCATTAGTATGTTTAAGACTTCACCTTTGTTAAAAATGTTCTCAACATTTTGAATAAATGACAGTTTGTCAGAAGTGCACCTGATTGGCTTCAGCCTTGGAGGAAGAATTTCTGGTATTATTGGAGACTTAGTCAAAGCTGGAAAAATTGGCAGGATAACAGGTATGTAAAGAACGAAAGGTAAAGTTCAAGTTGTCATTATTCCCTAGTACAGAGATCAGCAACCTTTGGCACAAGTGCCAGACTTGGCACACGGAGCTCTTGTGTATGGCACAAGTTAAACAGCAAAATAAACTGAGAGAGAGAGTGAGTGAGTGAGTGAGTATGAGTGTGTCTTGTTATTATGGTCAGCTAAATTTTTAAATCGAGAAATATTGGAATCTACTTTGAATGGTCATGCAGCCTCCATATGAAGTTCCCAGACACCATTGTCTGACAAATTCAGATGCATGAAGAAAGTAGCCTTGGCATTGCTATCAGCATATGGATCTATATACCACTGTTAGCCAGATGTTTTCATACATGCAGCATACCCTTAGTCCTCATCGCAGCAGGCTTATGACATTTCACTCTCAGGGTTGTTTGAAGCTCAATGTGTGAATCAATCTAAGATTGAAGCTCAATGTGTCCAGATATTAATATGGTGAGTATAAATCTAAGATTAAAAAACATATACATTTTTTGATACAAAGAATACTAAATGCTACAAAAATATTATATTTATGTTATACATGTGCAGGAAAATACACTTGGATATACAGTGCTGAAAAAAAATGGCAGGCAAGGTTATTAAAAAGAAGGCATTAATTATAAACTTGCACACTATGCTCAAAAGGTTGCTGACCCCTGCCCTAGTAGGATACTATTTTGTTCAGTCGTATTTGTTCAAATGGCAGTATCATATTGTATGTATGTGTTATATTATGCAATATAAGAATCCCCTTAAACTCATTATTTGTGATAATCTACTTGGAATTTTATCATTCAGAAAGATTTAGTACAGGCTTGTTAACTTCAGTATTGCCACTTCAGGATTAGATGCTTCATACCCTTGGGCCCAATCACCAAGCAGTTCAGAGTTCCTTGATGCTAGCGATGCCAAACTAGTCATTAATATGAGAACGTCACCTGTGGGATCTCGATCTCCGCCAGGTCATATTGACTTCTTTGCTAATGACGGACTCCTGCAACCAGGTTGTGACAAGTGGTACTTTCCCAATGCAAGTGAGTGTTCATCTTATGCAGGAGTTTGTTTTCTTTCTTTCTTTCTTTATTTATTTCTGTTAATAAGTTTTTCTTTTTTATAGAAAGGGATAGATACTTGTTTTCTTCCTTTTAATGCATATTTGATTTTGTATGTTGTGGATGGTTGTTTTTTCGTATTCTTGTTACTGGCAAGAGTATAGAAAACATTTGTAGGTAGTTTACATTTTGTTTTTCTGCAGAATACATTTTATCAGAATAACAAAAAAATGATGTTTTGTATGATCATATCTTTAAAATTTGTTTCAAATTTGCCGTTAATTTTTTTCAACAGTAAAGAATACTTGCAGTCACTATCGGTCTGTTTTCATGCTGGTTGAAGCTGTTCAGAATGCACACAAGAGACTTTTTCCATCCTGCTCATGTGAAAGCTGGGAAAAATTCCAAGCCAACTTATGTGACTGCCAAGTCACTAACCACTTTGGACTTTTTCCTGATGAAAAGTAAGAAGTACCAGATGCCTTATAAAATATCTGTTTATAATCAACTCTATAACTGTAAGGAAAATTGAGATTATATGTTGAGAATATACATATTAACTTGTTTGAGTAATTATAACAGCATCCTGGAGCTCAGGGAAAGAATTTAAAAATTTGGATATTTTCTCCTTTCAGCACACATGGTACCTTCTACTTAACAACAAATGCAGAGCCTCCATATTCAAGACCTCTTAAATAGAGATGCATATAAGGACAGTTCTTGGTTAGATCACTCTCTATAAAGTGGAGTTTTCTTAAGAATTGCTCTACATTTGAAATAAATGGTGTTATGTGAAAATGGAGCATAGACAGTATATAGACAGTATTATTTTCTTCTCTGTTTTTGTTTTTGTACTTGTTAATTATATAAATTTCACCCCTAAGGAAAATGAGAAAGTATGAAGTGACTTATTATCCTGTATGCTCCCTTCTAATATTTATAACTATGATCACTAGATTAGAGTGCAACATGTACTTAAACAGTGTATGCATTGATTATGATACATTATTACAGTTTGATGTATATGTTTAGATTGATATATGTATATGCACATACATTCATATATATACATATATATGTGTATCACTTTAAAAAATGAAAATTGATAGATTGTGTATACATTCATCTGATGCACATATATATATTTATATATTTAAATATAGATTGCAATATTGAAGATATAGGTATGTGCATGTGTGCTTTTCATGCTGTATGGAGCAAGGTGTAAGCATTACTCCTTAGTGTACAATGGACATTCCAGACAGGAAACATCAACAAGGGTTTTCTCTTGTTCCCTACTCCAGTGCTGCCTTTCACTCTGCCCCTCCTCCTTCCTCCCAAGATGTTTCTAAATCCCCTTTGTATCATTTCCAGTGTCTTATGTTTCCATGTTAATCCCCTTCTTCTCCCAGTCAAATTATTTAGAAATTCTAAACCAAGACACCCCAGCCTCTACCACTGCCCCGACAACTACCCCTCTCCCTACTCGTTTTACCCATAGCAGGCAATCTAAACATTCCACCACATCTTCTACCACACCCTCTCCTCCACCAACCTCTTGTTCTAACCCTCAAATACCTATCTCTTCTTCTCCCTCACATAAGGAAACTTTTGTTTCTCAGACCTGCCCAACCAAATCCACTTCAGAAACTCTTGAAGACATGCAAAACTATCTAATCATGACCCAAGATAACTTGCCTACTCCTCATCCATCTTCTAGTATCTCTGCTCCCATTCCCTCTACACTCAAAGTAACTGCTGACATCCATCTCCCTTTTCATGTTCCCCTACACCCCTTCCTCTTATTCACTCCCAACACATCAACAGCCCATGTTCTTCATTTGCATCATTCTTCCTACCTTCCCCATTGTCCCTTCCACATCCCCCTGGATTCTCCCTCACATTTCTCCTGAAATTGTGATCTAAAAGCCCTTAAACCCCCCCCATCTCCTTTTGGTAATCCCTACCTTACCCTATGGACCCAAGCTCATACCTTATCTACCCTGACAGACCTCACTGCTAAAGCTATTCCTGCCCAGTCGCACCCCTCCCTTAATACTTGCACCCAAACTGATTTTCCTGTTTACAGCAAGGATTGATCAGGCTGTGAAAACAGCTTGCTTGCCTGCCTCGTTGACTATGTTGCAGTAGCATTACAGTACTACACTATTCCTCCCAGAGGCCACCGGAAGTCCTACACCAGTATTGGAAAGGTTGGCATTTTGGCCACCCTGCCAAGCACTGTGATTCCACAGTCCACTGCCCTCATTGTCCCCAGCATAACTGTGATTGTTCAAACTTCTCTGCAAAATTACTCACATGTGCCAATTTTGAGGGCTCCCTTAATATTATTTGTAGGGTTGTCTTACCCACAAGTTGGAGGCTGAGGTGGCATTTCTCAGATTTAAACGACCTCGTTATGTGAGGCCAGACAGGAAGCACGCTGATAATTTTTTTCTGCTTCCTACACCTGTGTTCTTCACTCCAACCCTCCCCCTTCTCCCCAAGATGTTTCTACTTCATCCCTAGTATCTCTTCCCCCTACTCCTTATGTTCGCACTTCCACCCTCTCTACTTCCCATTCAAATTATTTTGCCGTACTAAATCCACTTCAATCTCTACCACTTACCCAATACCTATCCCTCCTCCGTCTCACTCTAGCCATCGCATCAGACAATCTAAAGGTTACATCTTGTATTACATCTACACCTACCTCTTCCTCTGCTCCTCAGGCATCTGTCCCCATTTCTCCCCTGCACAAAAACCTTCGTGTCTCAAACTTCCCCACACAACCCCCTTTCCAAATATTATGAGGACATTCCATTTTTTTCTATTATGGCACAAAAACATTCCTATCCCTCATCCACCCTCCAATCTCTGTAATCCCATTCCCCATATACTCAAAATAACTTCCAACATCCATCCTCCCTATCATGTTCCCCTACACCCCTTGCGTAGCCTTACATTATCTCTCTTTACCCTTTTACAATACTATATTCTGAAGTGCTATACAACTTTTGACATATAGTACATTTGATCATTTAGTTATCAACCCTCCTTTGCCCTAATCGGTACTACACCATTCTACAGTGCTATATGACTTTTGATGTCTAGAACGTTTATTTGCAATTTACCCACTAACCATTAACCTCTATTGAATTGTACATGGTGAGGCTGCAATATATAGTTGCTCAATCGTCAGGTTAAGCAATATGATACGGTCGTGTCAAGAACAAGGAGAGGATGCCCCCAGACTGATGTAACCATGTTAAAGAATTTCATATTCTTACAACAGGAATTTCTAAGAGTGCCATTTTTGTATTTGTTTGTGATTTATTTTAGTACCCAATCCTGAGATATGGGGAAGCGAACCACTAGCCAAGTGGTTTTATAATACAGATAAAACCCTTCGGCAACGACCTTTATAAATGGAAATACTGGGGGAGGTAAAATGCCCCTCCAACCCAGCAATTGAGGCAGGCTGTGAGCTCCATTGAGAGGGCGACTACTGGGGCGCAGGATGGGAATGGAAGCTACTCGTCCCGCCTGCGTTCTGTCAGCCGCCAACCCAGAGTGAAACGTGGGGCAAAGCACAAGGGAATCCAACGTTTGGAAGTTGGGTCCCGCAACCTACCGCCCCCGTTATATGGGATAGCGTCGCGGGGGATGGCAGAAGTGGCGTCCACCAGGAGTGATTCCCTGAAGCTAAACCTCAGGCGGGACGTCAGGTTCTTTGCGTCAGGATGATCGGTTGCCACTAATGTCGAGGAAACTGGGGAGACTTTAGAGTTGAGGCGGCTGCTCTCTCAGAGGTGAGAAGACCTGGCAACGGCACACTGTGTGTAGGTGGGTACACCTATTACTGGTCAGGCTGTGGCGATGATCACCATCTTCAGGGAGTACCCACAGCCATCTCCAGCACACTCCAGCCCTCGGTAATAGAAGTCACTCCGGTCGAGACTACATCTAGCATTTGGCTTCATGTCTCTTATTGCTGTGTACGCTCCTACCGATGTTTGTAAACTCGACGTGAAAGAGATGTTCTATGCCAAACTTGCATCTGTTTCGGACATTTGTCCTTGGTAAGATATTCTGGATGACATCAATGTGGTATCTGGCTGTGATCAAGCTGGCTACGAGATGTCTGTCGGTCCCCATGGTTCGGGAGTGATGCCGGTAGCGGGAATAGCCTGCTTATCCGGGACTTTGCAAGGTCCCAGAAATTGAGGATTTCTGGCTTCAGGTACCCGCGCTCAGACGTGGTATAGCGATGGGGGTAATGTAGCCAAGGTGATCGACCACATCCTCGTTAGCATTCGTTGGAGGATCCTCCAGAACTGCAGTGTACAGGTGTGCCGAGTTCTGTAGTACTAACCCTGAATTAGTTGTGGCTACTCTCCGAGTCCACTTCAAAACTCCCCAGCGGTTCAAAGATCACCCAAGGGTGTTTCATTTAGACGGAAAGAGGGAGGGGGAGTGTGCCTGGGGGTTTGCTGAGGCAATTTCTGGTCGTTTCACAGCGCTCGACAATCTGACGGACCCTGTACTTCTGTGGGACACGTACCGAAACGCTCAATGCAGCTCAAGCATCGATTGGTGAATGCCCAAGAGCAAGACAAAACTGTATCTCGCAGGAGACACTGGAAGCTACAGATGCTTGTCGTGCGGCTCATCTGACAGGGGATCAGGATTTGCACCGTTCTCAGGTGCTAACAAGAACACGGTCACTGTTGAGAAGGGACAAGGAACAGTTTGTTAGGACAGAGGAGGTCGAAGGTCATTTCTTAGTAACTGACCTTAGTCCTGCCTACCAAGCCCTGAGAAAGCTGAACTCCAAGCTCTCTTCACGGGTGACTGCAGTTTGGTCAGTAAGTAGCCAGATCGTCTCAGATCCTGTTGCGGTGCGGGAATGTTGGGCTGAGAGTATTTTGAGCAGTTGTACCAGGTTGACCACCAACAGTTGACTTGCGGGTAGTGTAGAGATCCCGCTGCCGGATCCACCCATCAGTGAGGACCCTCCCTCCTTAACTGAAGTTAGGGGGGCGATTTCCAAGCTGAATAGTGGTAAAGCAGCGGGTATCTGCGGCATACCAGCTGAACTGGTAAAGGCTAGTGGTGAACCTATGGCACGGGGGTTACATGCTGTCCTGTCTGCCATATGACGGTCCGGTACCGTTCCCCTTGGCTCCGGAAGGGGAAGGGGGATCGATGGGACTGCAGCAATCACCGAGACATCACACTGCTCAGTGTACCAGGCAAGGTTCTCGCTCACATTCTTCTAAGACGTATCAGAGACCACCTGCCGAGGCACCAGAGGCTGGGGTAATCTGGATTCACTCCTGAAAAGTCCACAGTAGCCTGTATCCTGGCGCTTCGAGTCATTGTAGAACGCCGTCGGGAGTTCAGGCGTGGGCTGCTTGCAGCAAACATTGATCTCAAGAAGGCGTTCGATGCGGTGTATCGGGAATCACTCTGAGACTGAGAGGAATTCCAACAACGATTATTGGACTAATAGCTAGCCTATATACTGATACTGAAAGTGCTGTAAAGTGTGGTGGGGGCCCGTCGAGCTTCTTTCCTGTTAGTTCAGGAGTGAGGCAAGGCTGTGTCCTTGCACCAACACTTTTCAACACCTGCATGGACTGGATACTGAGCAGAGCTACTGTCCAAAGTCATTGTGGAGCAACTTTGGGCAATATCAAGGTTACTGACCTTGACTTTGCTGATGATGTTACTATCCTATCTGAGTCTTTGGAAACCTTATTGGTGGTTCTGGATGTATTTAGCAATGAAGCGAAGACCTTGGGTCTAGTGATCTCCTGGACCAAGACCAAGATCCAGGGCTTTGGGGACTTGCTAGGGGACTCTTTTCGGTCGGTTTATGGGGCCGGCGAGGACACTGAAGTCACAGAGAGTTTTACATAACTTGGTAGTGTAGTTCGTCACTCTGGGCTGTCAGACCAGGAAGTCAGCAGACGGATTGGCCTGGCAGCAGGGGTCATGAACTCTCGACAAGAGTATTTGAAGATTCCAGTACCTGTGCAGAACCAAGCTACGCTTTTACAAGGCCCTGATAATGCCAGTTTTACTATATGGTAGTGGAAACATGTTATCCTGCGCCCTAGAGTCTCGTCTTGATGCCTTTCGTAATAGGTCCATGACTGTTGGCGGAGCCACGTGTCCAACCAACGGTTGCACTGTGATACTGGCACAAGACCTGTTACTTGTACAATCCGCGAGCGCCAACTCTGGCAATACAGCCACCTAGCTCGTTTTCCACAGGGTGATCCTGCCCACCAGGTTATCTCTGTACGAGACATCCCTGGGTGGAGGAGGCCTGTGGGACGACCAAGGTTAGGCTTGAACAAATCGATCAAAACTGTCGTGAGAAAATCGAAATGGGTCGAGTCCCTGCCTGGTGGCGGCTATGCCCCCCCCCCCGCAGGCTTTAGCTCCTCGATGATGATAATGATATACCTTCCACAAGGTTACAACATGGCTGGCGGGAATGTATTGAATTTCATTGCGATGTAAATCATTGCCCCACGCATCGTACGACGACCCTCGCTCCTCGCCAGATGGATTGCAGGAAAAATAACTTTGTGGACTGATAAGGCTGATAGTATATGGCCTTGAGCAGGGACTATGATATAATCTATGGCTACGAGAACTCCATATTCTGGAATCAGAGGAGGATAAACTATATGAATTGCTTATCTAATTTGATTGACCTTGTAGATATTTACATTATGTGTATAAATTGTGTTCATATATATATATATAATATATATATGTTCGTATATACATATATATATTATATATATTATATATCACACACACACACACACACACACACACACACACACACACACACACACACACACACACACACATATATATATATATATATATATATATATATATATATATATAGAGAGAGAGAGAGAGAGAGAGAGAGAGAGAGAGAGAGAGAGAGATACATACCATTATTATTATATATATATATATAATATATATATATATTATAACATACATACATACATAACATACATACACATACATACATACCAACAACACACACACAACACACACACACACACACACACACACACACACATCACACACACACACACACACACACACACCACACACACACACACACACACACACACACACACCACACACACACACAAATATATATATTATATATTATATATATATTATTATATAAATATATATAAATATATATATTTAATATCTGTAATATTATAATAATATATATCATATATATTATATATATTATATACATTTTTTATTATATTTATTTTATTTTTTAATATTTTTTTTTATCTTATTATGATATGTATCGCACCAGAGAGACGCAAGATGATGAGAGAGAGATGAGCGATGAGAGTAGAATACTACCATCCTCTGTCTACTATTATTTAACTTACGTTTACTACATTCTTACAGTATAAATATTTTTCTGTTTAATACTGTTACTTTCATCAGTATTACTATATTAGTTTTTTCACTGGATTATATATATCTATACCGCTTAATTCCTCTTACTGCTCTTTACTCTCTCCTCACATACTCGCTTACTTACCCTCCTATCTCCCTATCACTGATGTCTCTCTCTGTATACATTATTGATAGCTCTCCGCTCTGTCTCTGTATCGCTGGTCTTCACACGGGTAGGCTTCATCTATCAGCTGCTCACTCTTGCATCTCCTCTACTCATTCTTCCGCTATCGGCCCTCTCGCTCGCGTACCACGTACCTCACCTAGCATGACTATACCTCTAGTCCATATGTATACCTACTATCTATATACAATAATATCATACATACCATTACCCATACATACACAATACATATCCAGTAAACCACAGTGACACGCAACACAACCACAATACACACACACACACACTAGCCACACCCCGACACCCACCACCACAAACCAGCTAACACACAGTCCACACACACATCACACACCCACACACACACACACCAACACACACATAGTACTATATATATAGTATGTGTGCTGTGTGTTCCGCCTATGTATGTATTGTATGTATTGTATGTTACGTCTCGATATATGTACTGATATGTATATATTATATATATATATATCCCTATCATGATACTACTATACTGTGTTATATTATATATATATATCCCCTTACCACTGTATGTCTCTCTCTCTCTCTCTCTCTCTCTCTCTCTCTCTCTCTCTCTCCGTATAATATAATGTATATTCAACGATATATTATATCACTATATACTAATTATTATTATATATACGTTATAGTATATAATATACATTATATATACATTACACTGTATACCTTTATAATATGATATATACATAATATATATATAAATATATATATATATATATATTTGGTGTGTTAGTGTGTGTGTGTGTGTGTTGTGTGTCCTGTGTGTGTATGTAGTATACATAATTACATTACATACATATAATCTAGTATATCTATATCTATATATCTATATATTAGTATATATATATAATACATACATATCATATATTATCAGCTATACATAATATATTATATAATATATTTATAGTACTATATATATATATATATATCTCACACACACGAGAAAGAGAGAGAGAGAGAGGAGAGAGAATCACATACATACATTTACATGTTATACATGTTATATATACCTATATATATATATATATATATATATATCTATAATATATATAATATAATATATATACATACATATTATATTATATATATATATATATATATAATATATATATATATAAATATAATATATAATACTATATAATTTATATATATATTATATAATACTACTATATAATATATATATATATACTATATATATATTTATAATATACTATTAGATTATAATATAATATATATATGTATATATATACTATATATTAGTGTGTTGTGTGTGGGTGTGGTGCGTGTGTGTGGTGGTGTGTGTGTGTGTGTGTGTGTGTAATATATATATTATATACTATATATAATAATATTATATTATATAGTAATTATATATATATATATACACACACATTTACACATGCATACATACTTACATACGTACGTACATACATTGCAGTGAAAATAGCATGCATATATACATATATGTGTGTGTGTGCGCGTATTTATACACACACACACACACACACACACACGAGTGCACAAGGAGAGCAAAATCGAGACGTAAACACTTTTCAGGTGCCATGACATCCAGATTAAATGTCCTTATCTCCATCTATCTTCTAAAACCGTCAAGAGATTTCGTTCTCTCGTCGACGAAGCACGCAGCTTTCATCATTCTGTGCTCATTCGAATCTGAAAATAATAATACATGCTCAGGTGCCGTAACTGGTACAAATCAGACTTCTAAAAAAAAAAAAAAAAAAAAAAAAAAAGAAACTCCTACAGAAAAAAAAAACAATCATAAACTCTTCGAAATTTTGTTAGCAAAAATGGCCAAAGAATACAAAGTGAATCCCTGGTGTGCTTTGGCTGTGCTGGCGCTGGGATATGCAGTTATACTTGGCCCTCTGCTCGCCTACTACATTCCCTCGGGTCGGAATGGAGTTTTCTACTACTTCTACAACAGGTGGGTTTGGGTGCCTCGGTAATGTGGCGGGCAAAGTCATAGAAATTATATCGTGGAGGCATTGAAAATTAATTCGGTATGGAGTTATTATTTCGTTTTTTTTTTCTGTTCGGTGCTCTTCTCTCTTTGTGTGTATCTCCCCCTCCTCTTTCTTTCTCTTTTTCTTTCTCTCTCTCTCTCTCTCTCTCTCTCTCTCTCTCTCTCTCTCTCTCTCTCTCTCTCTCTCTCTCTCTCTCTCTCTCTCTCTCTTTCTTTCTCTCTCCCCTCCTCTCTCTCTCTCTATCTATCTATCTATCTATCTAATCTCTCTCTCTCTCTCTCTCTCTCTCTCTCTCTCTCTCTCTCTCTCTCTCTCTTCTCTCTCTCTCTCTCTCCTCTCTCTCTCTCTCTCTCTCTCTCTCTCTCTCTGTCTCTCTCTCTCTCTCACTTTCCTTCCCTGCTTCCCACTCCTTCCCTCCCCACCCTATTTCCATTCTATACCTCTCCTTCCCTTCTCCTTCTCTCCATCTCCCTTTTCCTCTCTCTTCCTTCTCTTTCTCCATCCCCTCTTCCTCCCTTTCTTTCCTTCTTTCTCTTCCCTCTACCTCCTTCCCTCCTCCCTCCCTCAACCTCCTTCCCTCCTTCCCCCTCTCCTCTCTCCTTCCCTCCTTCACCTTCTTTCTCCCCCCTTTTCCTGCCTTCCCCATTCCCTCTCTATTTCCCTATCTCACCTCCCCCCCCCCTCCTCCTCCTCTCCCCCAGCACGGACGGCGAGAGACACCCCTTCAGCCCCACCGCCGAAGGTCTGTCCCAAGTCCCCATTTCGTCGAGCTCTGACGTCACGCTCATCGTCCACGGTTTCAGCGAGTCCTCAAACCGCCCTTGGATTCACAGGCTTACGAAAGGTAATGGGAGAGAAACACGGACTTTGGATGATGTTTTTTTTGTTATTTGTTGTTATGATTGTTATTTTTTATTTCATTCTAGTTTATTTTATTATTTATTTGTCTTTTGGTTTTGATTTTTTTTTTTTTTTTTTTTTTGGAGGGGGGTTGTGGAAGCGGATGTAAGTACGATGGAGTTATGCTAAAGTTTTGTTGTTGTTGATATTTCTTTGTTATTTTTTTGGTTATATTATCATATTTTTTTCTCTCTCTTTATTCATGTCTTAATTTCAGCTCTTATCATTCATATAGATATTGCTATTATAATCATCCCTATCACATTTTTATATATCGTTACTGTTATCCTCCTCATCATTATCATCACATTTTTATAAACATCGATACCATTATCGTCATCCTGCTCATCACGATCGTCTTCATCGCATAAGTAATCATCATCATAATTACAGTCATCATCATCACCACCAATCATCACCATCACCACCACCATCTTTAACAATTACAACCATTAATATATTTTTCCCTATAGCTACCATTATTTACCATTAAAAAACACCACCGTCCTTACCAATTACTACCATCAATATATTTTTTCCCATATTACATACCATAAAAAAACACAAAAACTAGTCGGAAAACGCCCCTTTCCCATTTTTCCCATAGCTACCATTACATACCATTAAAAAAAAAGACACAAAAAACTAATGGGAAAACGCCCCTTTCCCCCCGTAGCCCTGATAGCGAGAGGCGAAGGGAAACACGTAGTCCTGGTGGTGGACTACTGGGACCTCCACAGCCTCAACTACCTCGTCATGAGACAGAACGCGAGGGTGGTGGCGGACCTCCTCGCCGCCCTCATCGATGGGC